CAAGAGAAGGATGCGCTGGATATAATATGGCCTCTTAAACTGATGCCAACTTTGCATGCTCTGCATTTAGATGAACAGGGATCTAACCCAGGGAGCTCTCACTGCTAAACAGAGCTGCAGTTTTACAGAACCTGGGTTTGGTAAGTATTCAATCCAGATACATTTCTTTTTATTTATAGAGTAGGGAATGAATAAAACTCCTGACAAGTTTTTTTTTTGTGTCTGTTTACCATTGGGGAGATTTTCCTTAACTTCCTCTTTTCAGGTACAACAGGAAATAGGCAACGACCCCTCCAAAGGAAGGGCAAACCTCTCTTAGACAGCTGTCATCAGATTACAAAAGGAACAAGCAGAGACGAAGCCGCAAAGCATACAGGGAATCCAGGAAGTTGTTGAAAGAGATGGCCAGCAGACAGAGAGGCAGCAATCACAACACCAAAGGAGATTCTTCAAGTAAGCTTCTACTAGGTTATCAGACTGCACAGCTATTAGAATGCTGATGTTCTAAAATTAAAACCTATGTTGTGACCTCATGATAGTTGTGCAATCGTGGTGAGTGATAAAAAAAACTTCTGATGTTTGGAGATGCTCATCATTGCCCCCCCGAGGGCACTAAGTTCCCTTCAAGGACCGTTTTTTTCTCTCTAGACAGCAATTCATTAAGGGAATATTTTCTCCATTCTGTCTTTCCTCAATAAGCTCTAGCGCTGCGATTCATTTTTGTCTACAAATATGTAACAAGATGGCTTGGGTTGAAGTCAGTGTATTGAAAATTAAGCAGTTTGTCAACTTTGAGTGAAATCTTCTACTAGGAAGCCATTCAAATTTCATTTATTTGAGTCGATAGGAGAGAGGAGAGAGGAAGAGAGAGGGAGAGAAAGGGAGAGAGAGAGGACGAGGGAGAGAGAGAGGAAGAGAGAGGAAGAGAGAGGGAGAGAGAGAGGAAGAGAGAGAGGAAGAGAGAGAGAGAGGACGAGGAAGAGAGAAGAAGAGAATGGGAGAGAGAGACAGAGATCAAATGAATTAGAGGGGGGAAAAAGCTATTGTGGTGTTCCCAAATTGTCCACAAGGTGGCAGCACAGATTAGGAGACTGAGAGCTGAGATGGTGTTAGTTATTATTATTATTATTATTATTATTACATAGTATTTATATGGCACCAACAGTTTGCGCAGCGCTTTCCAATATAAGGAAGACATTACAATCACAATACAATTCAAGACAAGATGGTTGAATTATTTTGATACTGGTCACTGCTGGGATTAGGATCACACATCATAACTGAATCTGGTTGATGTAGGCAAAATAAACACTTTGGAGGGATTAACAAAGACTGGTACATGCCGAAAAGTGTGCCCGTTTCTATATACCTGCTTGATTTGCGTTTTCTGCAACAAATTGATAACATTGATGCACACCAATTTGTTGCATGCTGGTGGTGCGCCAGATATTATTATTATTATTACATAGGATTTATATAGCGCCAACAGTTTGCGCAGCGCTTTACACTATAAGGAAGGCATTACAATTGCAATACAATTCAAGACAAGATGGTGAGGAGGGCCCCGCCGCTGAGGGCTTACAATCTAAAAGAGGAGGGGAAGTGATACATGAGGAGGGAGCTGTGTGGGGGAGAATTGTTTGACAAAGTGATGGTTCACTGGTTAGGTTGAGGTGGGATAGGCTAGATACAAGCGAACTTACTCTGGTGTGCACTCAAAAATCTTCCACTGGGATCATCCTCAAATATTTTTCTTCTCTCCTTCCTGCGATGCTGCACCTCGCTGGTCGTCCATAATACATCCCTCTTTCATCTCTGCTAAATTGCTAATGGTTGCTTGCTGTCGCCCCTCCTCACTACGCCACTCTGGGTATGGTGTATATTTCAGAAATGCTTTTAAATGAGAACATTGCCGCAAGTGCCTCATTATTGTGGTGGACACGATCGGACATTTAGGGCCAGTTCACACCATATGCAGTTGTGATGCAGTCCGTTTATTTGACTGCTGCAGTCAAAATACATCACAATGCTTTCCTATGGGCTTTCTTGTGCTTAATTCACACCATTGCAGTGTGAACTAAGCACAAGAAAGATCATAGGAAAGCATTGTGATGTATTTTTACTGCAACAGTCAAATAAACGGACTGCATCACAACTGCATATGGTGTGAACTGGCCTGAACTGACCCTTATAGAAACTATCACATTTAGCGCACCACATAGAACTCGTCTTTATAAAATTTTAATTTTGCACACAGAAAATTCACAGAGACTGCGTGAGGCTCGGAAGGGGACAAATATAATTATTTCATGAGTACGTGCGTCTGTACAACAATAATAGTTTAGGACTGAATAGTGATAATGTTGCAATTAGCCATGTCATGACTTGTTCTCCTGAGAGCGTTGTTGTGGATGTATGCTTACATAGCCATACGGTTTCCTTTTCATTTCATGTGGACTCTGTAATGATGAATGTCCCTGGGGCAGCCATATCATAGGCAGGCTGTGTTTTATGCAGAGCCTGCAGCTGGTACTAAAAGGAGAACTCAGCAAAAAAAGGAAGTTGTCCTTTAAACAGCAAGTGCCAAAATGTTTGATTTTCCCCCGCTGGTTACTGCCCAATGGCTGCATGAAGGTAAAGGTTATGTTGACACTTTGGGAATTATCACATTAAAAAGATTCTTCATGTTTAAATTCATGAGAGATGAATGGGGGCTGCCACTGACCTGAAAATAAGCATGCTGTCAATAGTTGTCAGTATCTTTACACTTGATCCTGGACAGAGACTCGGGCAGAAGGTTCAGCATGACAGCCAGGGAACTAGCATTGTCAAAAGCAGCAATGATTCAGCAATGGCGGTCTTCATTATTCTCTCATGACACATTCCCTTATATGAGAGGCACCTGCTGCTTTAATAGCAGCTTCCACTAAAAGGATGAACAGGGGCTGCTCGTGTCTTCTTGCCCTTCCATGTCCTGGGCCTTGCTGTCAGGCCACAGCCCCTCCTGCTTACCTGAAGTTACTGTTATCAATAGCCCATGGACCTCAATACCAGAAAGTTTCTTAGTAATGGCAATGGACATGAAATATAAAAGGGATTTTGGCATTGCTTCAATCTGCTCTACAACACTGTGATCGCATGTGACAGATTTGCTTTATGCAATAGCCTGTACTATTATATAACCACAATTTAAGTCTGGCCATTGATGGAGAATAGCAATGAAGGACTGGAGTCCTCCATCCCTCGTCCACCTTGTTCCCTAATAGAGCCGAGCGTAACCCTGAGCAAATTCCTTCCTGAACATGGCTGTGCAGAAAACCGTCCTGATACAGGCAGATACGGTCGAGTGGTTTCTACCTGAAATTGGGACATTTGTTCCTGTTTATCGTGAAATCGTTGTTCGCGGCAGTGTAATGTGTTCACTAGAAAAGTGTGTTATGTCTGAAAGGAACACCAGAAAGATTACACAAGAGGCCTCATACCGAGGTGTAAAATATACGGTGTTCTTCCAAACACACATGTCCTGGTGAAAGGGGGTCCTGCGAGGCCTCGAAACCCTGCGTGCTTCATCGTGTGATATTAATGCGGTTACACTTAACTACCAAAACTAAAGTTACATTTACTGTCATTATTTCAATGTGCTAACAATGTTTATTTGTGGCTTCTATCTGGAGGATGTGATGAAACAGAGCGCATCCCATGCAAACAAATGCATCCCATGAACTAAGAATTGAGGAAGCTGTTCAGCAGGCATGTGTGCGTTCCAGATGGGTCACATGACAAGACTACCCACTCGCAGATTGTTAATAAAGTCATTTACAACAACCAATCCAACATTTCTAATAATATTTTTTTTAAGGTGAGGTGGGTGTGCGAATGTTCAATCTGCAGGCACTGGATACAAACTCCACTCCAGTCATTCAACAACAAAGTCCAAAAAGTCACCAAACAACAATAAATATATATATATAGCAGCTGACTATGTTACATATAGTATTTCTGTACTTTCACCAAGCTCAAAACATTCACCGATCCACAGATTTCAGAGTTTAAAAAAAGCAGACATCATTCAGCAGAATGCAACTCCACTTTCAACGCCTGGCCAAAAGGGGCAACATTACAACACTAGGTAACACCATAATCCATAGAGCTCCTTTTTTTTTGTCCTTATTACACTATATGGTCAAATGTATGTGAACCTCTTCCAAATGTTTAAGTTTTGGTGTTCCTGGTGAAGGTTCTCTTAATACTACAACATACAAAGACAATGTAGACAATTGTGATCTTCCAGCCTTGTGGTCACAGTTTGGTGAAGACTCTTGTCCTGCACAGAGCCCTGACCTCAACCCTACTGAACGCCTTTCTAAGCCAGGTCTTCTTATCCAACATCAGACCTGACCTCAACCCTACTGAACACCTTTCCATGCCAGGTCTTCTCATCCAACATCAGACCCGACCTCAACCCTACTGAACAACTTTCCATTCCAGGTCTTCTCATCCAACATCAGACCTAACCTCAACCCTACTATCAACTTTCCATTCCAGGTCTTCTCATCCAACATCAGACCTGACCTCAACCCTACTGAACACCTTTCCATGCCAGGTCT